CTACATAGTGCAAAGTGAGAAAATGACCCCTGGGGACAATGCTGATTCAGCTTTTGGGGTAAATGGCCTGTAGAAAAGGGACTGTTCTTACAGAGCTCCAGGTGTAGCATGAGTCTTCATTGTACTTAATCTCAAATGACAACAAAATTACTGTTTTCCTGAAATATCTCAGGAATTATTCCCCTTTTCACTACAGCTGTCTCTAAAACACAGGCACGTTATTATCAACATCTAAACTTTTAGGGCTATATTATCAGAATTGATAACTGATTTTTGTCATGTTTTAGAAACCCTCTGAGGACACCTGTGTTTTCTAGGACTGCTGGTCAGTAATGTCAAGCATGCAGAGCTCCTGGAAATTGTATGAGCCTGTGCATGCTGGTCCTTCTCCAAACAGGCTTTGTCTCAAACTGGAGAGAAGATAACTTCTAAAGTTTTGGGTTATATATCAAAAGAAGCTGGCTAAACATCAGTTATGGAAAATGCAACCTATGAATAGAGTTTACTTTCTATTTCCACTTCTAGACTTGGGCAGACACTTTCTTCTTGTGACTTATACAGTGTTTTATGAGACTCGATCTATTACGTGATAGATTAAAAAATGGCGATGGGCAATTCTGGGCAGCATGATTTTGCTGAGAGATCATTTCACAGTAAAGTTGCCTTGTTGAAAGCAGGTAATGAAAACTTGTAGTTATCATTCTGGGTCTCCTCTTGCAAGTAATAGTTCCTCAAACTGAATGGGGTGTTTTTGTATTTCAGTACCTGCCAAGAGGGGTGGGTTTGGCTGCAAAGGGAAAACAGGAAATGGCTTGAAAATTAATAAAGCTTGCAGTGAACAGCTTTTATGCTTCTGACCAAATATTGCAGGGCCCACAGATGCCCCAGGGTTGCAGAAACAGGAAATTTGGCGACAGAAAGAGACATCATCTTTTGAGTTACAGATCACTTAGTTACAAAAGATGTCATCAAATTGAATGCTTAGTTTACACTTTTTTGAATGTATTTTTAGTGAAAGAGTAGGGAAGGAAAATATGGATTTACTTGATGTACTGGATATGTTGTAAGCTAAATTTTCGTTTGTACTGGAGACAACTCTGTGGACAGAAATTCTAGCAGCGCATGGAGCTGCACATTCATGGAAAATTCTGTAATAAGTCAGGCAAAAGCCAGGACATTAGAATGTATCACTGTGCTGCAGTCTGACAACTTATGGGACAGTACAGTGGTAATTTGAAAGTTCATCCAAGAGATGAGACACTTTGTGTGGCCTTTTTATGTGTATAGAGAGGTCATTTGTACATGTACATACTTAGGTCTACATAGTGGACTTTAACCTGAGAATAGGGACGATTGTTCCCATCTTACGGGGTTATGACATGGAAGTCAAAGATTATTAGAAGGCTTTTGCAGAAATACAGACCCTTGCCCTCAAAAATGGCCTTTACCTTCCCTCATTCACAAGTTGTTGAAGTCCATTGTCTCTTCATTGATTTGCATATGCCCTGAGTAGCTGTGGCTTTGTGGTAGTTTTTCATCTTGAGCCACTGTGCTTTTTAGTTTCTAATTTCTGGAAGAGCATTTCTTATGCAAGAGGTGAAAATACCAGCTTCTATTTAGCTTTTAAAATGGCAATCCAGAAGTTTTTCATTGGGCAGATGTCAGTGAATAAGAGCCAGAAGATGCTACTTTCATCCTGTGTTTCAGGTGGCCTTTCCTGACCGACAGGGACACAACTTCTGATGTCAAGTCAGACTTGCAGCTGATATAAGACAGAAGAAAAATTAACTGAGAAGTAAAACATGTCCTATAGGAAGGGACTGGTGTTAGCTTTGACAAACTGAAAAGTCATATTATCCATCTAATTTTAAGATAGGCAAATAAAAATCTAATCCCGTTCCTTGACCATCTGTGCTCCTTACTAAAATATTTTGTGCGCAGGTGTGTGAGCAACCCTTGCTGTCAGATCTAGGGACGAGTCTTCTTTCAGAAAATTGCAACACTGCTTGAAGTTGGAGATTTTAAGCTAGAACAGTGCTAATATTTATCAGTCAGTTTTAGAGATGGGGCTAGATCTTCAGCTGATGGAACTTAGTTTCACCAAAATCAATGTATACCAGTGTTCACAAACCAACACACTCTAGGGCATAGAAGGAGCCTAAATATTTTATGATCTGATACACACTGAGCCAGTGCCTCTGGGCTGATGGAGAAAGAACAGTTTGTAAGCAGTGAGGTTCCATCCTAGCCAGGAAATCCAGACTTAATTAATTGACTCTCAAACTAGTATTTAAGGGAAAAGAAGTAAAGATCAACACTTGCAATAGTTCATTTTAGGTTTATGGGCAATTGTTCTTTGTACAAGCTGCTTTTCTCCATCATGCCATTTCAGTCAGTCCTGAGAAGACTTGATTAAGATGAACTGGAAGAGGGAAAGGGTATAGAAGGTTACACAGTAGTTTTATGTGAGGTTTCAAAGTCTGTGGTTTGATGTTGAAGTAATTTTATTTCCTGCTGTTATTGTTTTGGAATTGAAAATGCTTTTTTTCATACTGTAAGGCTCTTCATTAGAAATCACAGAATCCCAGACTGGTTTGGGTTGGAAGGGACCTTAAAGATCATATGCCCATCCCTGCATGAGCAGGGACACTTCCCACCAGCCCAGGCTGCTCCAAGCCCCATCCAACCTGCCCTTCAACACTGCCAGGGATGGGGCAGCCACAGCTTCCCTGGGAAACCTGTTCCAGTGTCTCACCACCCTCACAGAAGCAGATAAATTTAAGCAGTTTAACACAAAACCATGATTTTAAATCTTTTTAAATTAAGCATAGCACCGTTGTGAACCTAAAGCAAATCACTGATTTAAAGGGAGTAGGGCACATTTGATAGACAGTTTGCTCTGCCATTCTCAAGAGGACTATGTAGGTTGGTTGTTTATAACGACCCCTGGAGCAGAGCTGCTCTGATGCTTTCTTGATAAAGCTTTCCCCTGAAAGTGAAGTTCTCTGGAGGCACAGTCCTGAAAACAGATTTCACTGACTGCAACAGGTTATAGATGGTGTAAGAGGTGAGTGTAGGGAGTGACATGATACTGAGGACATACTGGAGATGGGAGTTCTGTCAGCAAGTACTTTATCGAGGAAAAAGTCTTTCCAAAGTCTGCCAGCAGTTGTCTCTACGTGACATACAATGGAGTGACTCAGAGTTAAATATGGAATGCCCACTCTTTACTACTTTTAAACCTGTGGATGACCACAGTGTATTTAACAAAAAATTATAAGGTTGACGTAGGTTTTCTTAGGTCAGGAGTGTTCTTTTAACTGGAACAGTTATATATGGAAAGCAACACAGCAATGTCGCCAAAAGGGGGGAAAAACACACTGTGTGCTTAGTCTCTCACTTACTACAGAATGGTTCTATGAATTTGTTTCTTAATACTTTAAAAGATTTTAACTGCTTTTATAGTGAGTTAATACAGATGAAGCAAATGCCTGTCATGAGGAATATCAATCTCCTAATTTTAAGTACACATGGTGTTAGTGTGCAGAAAATGCACTGAGACATGTTGTCATTGTGACAACATGGCTGAGATCACAGCTGCTTGGAAGTTGGGCAGAAGCCAGCAGAGTCCCTGCATGACTTGAAGCCAAACTGTGTCCCAGCAGACAGGTTGTCAGCTGGCTGGGCAGGAGTTGTCTGAGTGTCATTATAATGAATTAAATGCACATGGATGTATAAATGAGAAATGCCCCCATTAAGTTCCATTTCAAAATTCTCATTTGGATTTGGATTTTTAGGGCTGAAACTGTATATGAAAATGTGGTTTCTTTTGGTTTCTGCATGCAAAGCATGTTGTTAAGAGTAAGTGCAAAGATGGTGGAAATAAGTTGTTTCAGGGAAGTAGAAAAGTCATGGCAGGAAAGCAGGCTGATTGGGGAGGGATAGTGAGGAACATGGGGAAGGAATGAGAACAGGGTGATGTTCTCTGGATGTCCTTGACTCTGACACACTTCATGTGACTGGGATTTACCGCCAAATAATGTGAGTAAACAGACCATCTAGATCACACTCTGCAGCCAGCAGAGGGAGTGGTATGTTCACAGGTACTTTAAAATGCACTCACAGCAGGGCTGGATTCACTTCCCTCCTCCCTGTTCAGAAACTGAACACAGAAATGTGCTCCAGAGCATTAGGGTTTGGGACTGCAATTTTATTTTATTTTTTTTGCCCCATCTGTAAGCAGCAGTATATTTCTCCACCCTGGCTTACATGTCCAATGGGTATGAAAATACATCTTCCAATAAAGGGTTTTGTGAGAGAAATAAGGTATAGTGATCTTCCAACAGTGGAAACATTGGGTTTAAAATTCCAGCTGTTGTGGTGGCCCCAGCTCACCTTCTGACTGGCAATTTGAAGAATTTTACTAAGGGGAAAGCACTGAAATCAGGGCGGGATCATGGATGTTTCAGCTATTTTGCAAAATTTGGATACATTTGCATATTATTCCACTGACACATGTAGCTGAATCATGTCTGTGATCTTAAAATTAATTCTGTACCACTGAATTTAATAAAGAGTCTCAGCAACAACTGTGCTTTGTCTAGGAGAAATACTAGACTAATAGCTTGGCTTTACAAATATTTTTGCCAAATGTTTACAATATTGAATTGATTTCCTGAAAAATTAAAGTATCATAGCAAGGGAAACAAGAACAACAGAGAAGACAAAAATCTAAAGAATGTTCATCAGAATTAAAACAGCTATCAGATTCAGAGCTTGATTGTTCTCTGAACTACACTATAAATCATTTATGTCTGGATGAAAGGAAATGAGAATGTGTAGGGGATGGAGTCCCAGTCTGAGTGTAGAAGGTAAACCTAGAGGAATGTGATTAAACTGGAATTAACAAAGATAGACCTTATCTTTGCATTGCTCAAACCAATGCATGAGATCACTTCTTGTGATACTAGCTTGTCAGTAACAACAGAGAGGAGGGAAGGCAGTTCAAAGCCGGGATTTTCCTATCTAAGGGGTAAATTAATTCCTTCTTTGAATTAGGAAATAAATGTTTTATGCTTTGCTCTGTATTTGCAAGACCTGTCTTGCATAAACCAATTCTAGGAAACAAAGGAGTGTGAGATACTTACTCTCTTGGAGGCCTGTTCACCACTTCAGTAGCCCCAGGCCATCAAGGCAAGAGTGCATTGTTAACATATAAATATTTTAAAGCCCACGTCTTTTAAAAGGGAAATGTTGAAAGCTTTTGAGGTGGATATAATCTCACTGTAAAGCCCCACCCTGTTGTTCTTGTTATTTCCATATGAAACAGTGGGAAAACTGAGGCACTGAGCATTCAGGAGAAGAAATAAGTATTGGAGACGCTCCCTCCAGTGCTAACATTGATTCTATAAATTATTTCATTGAATATAAGTATTGAATTAAGAGGGTTTTTTACTGAAATGTTATTATCTTCTTGGTTTCACTGCAGAAAACTTAATTAGAAGCTCATGATTCATGTGTTTGGAGGTGTAGGCAGCTGTACACCAAGTACCATACAAAGAATACTAACAATTTCAATTGCCTCCAAGCACTATTGACAATACAGGATCTTTCATAGCAAAGATTACTCCTAAAATAAGGGCTTTAGATCATATACCTTATACCTGGTATTGCCTGTAAGTCTTGGAGCATTTTTATCCCTTTCCATGTTTAAAAAAGGGAAGCAGAGGCCCAGCAGATTACACTGAAGTGTGAGTAAAGGCAAAATGCTGGTATTTAGATGGATTTAGATGGACAGCTTTATTCAGAGAGTTTGACCTGGCCTGTATCCACATGTAGAATATTTATGCTGTGTAAAACCATGTGCAAATTACTCTTCCAGAAAGCTTCTCAGGAATTAAGGAGCTCTACTTTTGGCTCAGCAGTTGGGACCCTGCATCCTTCTGCTTTTACCCTCTGTCACTTAAGGTCATGATGCGTACCAAGGCAGGGGCTGCAGCCAGACTGTGCTCCTTAAAAGTACCAGTAAGGTGTCTGCTCTGCAGAGTGATGCCCAGGAGCCTTGCAATCAGTGACAATATTTCAGTATAGTGTATTTTCTGAAAAGTGACAAGCAAACTAAAAATCCGGGTAACATTGTGACTTTGTCATTTTAGTGAAAAGAAAGGTCCCACTTTTAGGGACCAAACAATAGCAATGTAACAAAGTAATTTAAACCTGAAAGCTAGACTTTTATTTGCAGGAAAAGCAAATGCTTGTAAGGTAAAATCTGCAGCAGAAGAAGCTGCATGGGTCATTTCAGCAAGTGTTTACCTAACAACAGCAGAAGGAACTAAGTAATCTGTGTGTCAACAAATAAATTGAAGCCTTTCATTATATTCTTAGATAAGATATTTCTGGCCATTTTATAGGAGATTACTTTTTGGAAAACTCAGAAGTTTATATCCTACTGAGGAATATCATAGGGAAAATACAAGAACACATCAAATCCTTGGTTGAAAACTGAAAACAGTTTCTAAAAAGCAAACTGGAATTAGCAGTTAATTTTTCAATTTTAGTTTCTTGTTGGAAGTGTTTTGTCAGACATTTTTGGCTTCTCTATTTTTGGTCTGCAGCCATTCCATGATCCCTAAAAATGTCTTTTTGGTTATAGCACAGCCTGTGAAAATGGAGAGTATAGTCCATTCCATGTGTTATTATGTGAACATACTTTTTATCATCTTCATCTTTTGTGCCATTAACTTGAAAAATTTACAAGAGCCTGAAGCAAACATGCTTTTTCTTCTGGCTTCCCTTCAAATTTGAAGTAAGAAACTTCACTTACTCCATTTTTGTGAGACTGATTTATGTTACTAAAGAAAAAAAGTAGAACCATCACAGAGATTGTGATGACTGAGAAGTACACACTGCATCCTGTCAGCACTAACGTCCATTAAATTCACTAACATTCCCCAGGGAGGAAATTCAGCATTTTACCCTCTGATGATGTTTCTCAGCTTTAATGTCTCTGAAATGAGGAAGCCCTTGCGATTGTAGAAGACTGTCCAAACAGATGTAAGGAGGAGTTGATCCAAACATTAATTATATACACAAAACAGCAAAAGGCAGTGAGTTTCCCTTGCGCAACAGCTCTGTAGTAGTGTGAAACAACTGACTGCTGGATCTGTGCAAGCATGTATTCAGATACTCCTGACCAAAGGCAGTGAGTTTCCTTTGCACAACAGCTCTGTAGTAGTGTGAAACAATTGGCTGCTGGATCTGTGCAAGCATGTATTCAGATACCTCCACTTCCCAAAACTAAGGGTCCTACTGAAGTTCTAGTATTTAAACTACTACATAACACTACACTATCAGCATGTAGGCTGAAAGAAGTTGTGTTGAAGAGAGCAGCTGTGCTAGTGATTACTAATGCACCATTCAAAGTGTGACTAAAGAAATTCTGGAGGTTATGACCAGTACAACAGAAGTGCCCCCAATTTGTTGTCAGTGAGGTAATTTCTGACACAATTATGAAAGCTAGTCATTGTAATGATTAGCATTGGGTCTCAAGATGCTTTTGAAAAGCAAATCCAGAGGCTCCAAACCTCTCCCTTTTGAGGATTGTTGCACTGGTTGATATAATTTCACCTGACATTTCACTCATCTTGTTAACAAGGCGAGTGAAATGTCAGAAGGCATTAAGTCAAAATGTGCTGTGTTTCCTAAGGAACACTTCTGTACAAGCAGAGAAACTTGTAAGATAGAAAGATTGCTTTAGAGTGAAGACAAGTGAGTGACCAGGATCCTCTACCATGAACAGGTACTTGAGCTATACCAAGAGATTGGAAACTGAGGTTTTTGCCATCTTGCAGACATTTTTTGCATACAGCAAAGTGGACAGGCCTTTTCAACACTTACTACTTAAAAGGATAAAACAAGTCCTTTGCATCAAGAGATTTCATCCCATTGGTGCAAGGATCTTTGTCAGCAATTTGTTTTGTTGTTGTTCTTCATGTGGATGTAAAAGAACTAGGTATTTCTTTACTTTAGAAAGGAAATTGGATTAATTTGACATAGGATTGAAAAGGTTGACAGATATGTCCACAGAAAGAGCTCTACAGATAAAGCATAGGGGCCAAACTCAGTTGTTTATGCTAGATTCTTAGTTTACTTCCACTGGAACATAGTGCAAGATCCTAGTGGTCCTTCTCTTGCCTCAAGTCTTAATCTGTTATTTGTTGTCCCTTTGTACTCCTTAGTGGTGTGTGATCCTAGTACAGAGACCAATGCATTTTGTGGAGTGTGCATTATTTTACAGCAAGCCAGTTCAGAATTTAAATATGGATTTGTGCACCTGTGGGAACAGTGCATGTAACTTAATGTATGCTCTGCACCTCTTTTTCTCTTGTGTTTTCAGTCTGTCTTAGATGTAAGATCTGAGGGAAAACTGTCCAAAGGTGCCCCTTGTCTGCAGTCATAACATGCCTGGTCATAGCAGGGGATATTTCCCAGAAAAAAAAAAACAAAAAACTAAAGCCAAAATGTTAAATAACTACATAAAAATGGGGCTTCTGTTCAGAGATGTTAGCACTTCATTGCAGTGTTTGATTAATTGATTAACTTCCTGTTAGTCATTTCACATCTGAACACTGGTTCTGGTGACACATTGCTAATATATGATGGTGAGCAAAGCCCTTTGTGATCATCATGTGCACCTGGTGCAGCAGCCTTGGACATGACATGTACCTTCACAAAATGAAGCATAAGCTTGGAATAATAACTTCCTTCATGGAAAAATATGCTCAATTAGCTGTTGAGAAATATGAATGAGGATGAACAGTTTTCAGGTTTAGTCTCCTCTAAGTAAGGATTTATTGGCTGAGATCTGAATCCTTCCTATGTGTCTGTGCTATGACTTCTTTCTTTTTTCTACCATTACTCAAATTATACTGGGAAGTTTTGGCCTCTTTTATGGGGAAGGTTAGAAGTTTAAGGGAAAGATGAAACCTCTGTCATTTTTCCACAGAACTATTTCTTACTTCACAAGGCAAGGAAGTGAATGGTTTTTTTCTGTTAGTTTCCTACTGCTTGCATTGATACTAAACTGCAAACACACCAAAGATCCAGGACCAGTCTGGCTTGTCACTCCCTGTTTTAGAGGTTACGCTTAGTATTATCTTGAATAGAAAATTAAAGAAATGGAAAGCCAGATCTTTTGTTTTAGTCCAAAAGTTGCCTACTGTTGTGCTGCTTTCAACTGTTACATCTGGGAGATATGGAGAAAAATTGTTCTTGCTTCCACATTCTCTACAAAAGGGTTTGACACATTCCTCCACAGTTCTTTGATTATGAAATTGTTACCCTGGTTTTTTTGACAAACGTTTTTTTTAAACCCATCCTGTTCCTCTTGCCTTAGGGGAGCCTGGAAGCCAAGATCATAGATAAATGAGCTGATAGTTGAGATTTGGTCTGTGGGACCCCATCTGTGTGGAGAGAAGAAAATAGCCAAAGGGTGGGTACAAGAGGCTGTGCTGGTAGAATGAAATGCAAAAGACAGGAGCAACAGCACCCAAGGTTTGCAGTTTGATTCCTCTGACATGCAGAAATCAGAAGTTTGTTTTGCTGTTTGCCTTTGCTTCCTGCCTCAGGTCTCTGAAGCTTGGTCTGTGACACATCTACTCTTGCTGTACTCTGAAAACAGCACCTAAGAACACCTGGATTATATTTTTCTTGCATGGAGCGGTTGGGGTTTCTTTACAGGCTGCTGGAAGAGGAAGAAGTGAAGCTAAGGGTACAGGTAAACTGCAGGAGTGCGGTGAAACCTGCTGATACGTTATCGGCAGGGACCAGAGGGGTGGTGGAACGACCGCTGTGCTGCAGGGCACAAGAGGGTGCTGTGCACTTAGCAGATGGCAAGCTAAACCCCTTACTTACTAGGACAGGTTTCTGTAACTGACTGATGCAAATAAAAGATTAAAGAAGTAAAGCTTTAATATCTTATTAGATAGAAAGCTCTGTGGAATCTCTTTCCCGCTCTCTGAAACTGCCTGAAATGTCTGGCAAGTGAAATAAGGTTCAGAAAGATTCAAGAGAACCTCTGCTGTGAGGGGTGTAGCAGTAACTGAGGAATGAATAAAGCTGAACAGCCCAAATGAAACAGGAGATGTTATACAGAGAAAAACAAGTTGGGAAGAAACTCTGCAAAACCAACAACAGCAAGAGAGAGGTGTCAGACCATGGCAGGTGGCCCATGATGGCAGGCACTGTGCCTGCTCTTGTAGCTGCTGATCAGTGCTGCTACTCGTTGGCAGTGAGACTGTTTGCCTGGGTGGTGTGGGAGTAGGGCTGATGTTTGACAAACCTCCGGGATACCTATCCCAAAATATCCAGAGCCTGACAGTAATCCCTAGTTTCCTGCCAGCCCCTTTCTCAAACATCTCAGGAAAGCTTCACAGATGCTGTGAAGAAATTGCAAATTGCATATGAGTGTGCAGAATAAACTGTGAAGATTGTGTTGCTTACAGTGCTTCCCTTACAGGGGGGTATATATAAATAATATATGTGAGCAGCTGAGCAAAAGGGAGGTGTGCTTCTTATGGAAAGGAGTGGTAGTTTTAGCAAGGGCTGGTGGAATTTTTAAGGAAGCTGCATCCTGTTCCCACCCCTGCCACTAACATGTTCTCACATCTTTCACAGATTGTGCCTTATTGTCTGTAGTCTCCCATCTGTGAAACAAGCATAACACCACTGAGGTATCTCTGAAGGAAAATGTCAGTCTGATTTGGTACATTTGATAGAAAAAGGGTTGGGTCTGCAAGGAGGAGCCACAGGGACCATTAAGTCCTGTGTATTAATAACCTCACTAAATAGAGAGCTGGATCTCTCTATATAAAGTTATCATTACTACAGGATACTGAGTCAATTCTGCTCTCCTGTTTTAGGAACACTCTTATCTGGGATCTAAAGCCTTGACTGCATTAAGGGCATAAAACCAGTAAATTATAGAAGGAGCAGGTGTTTGCAAAGCATCAATTTTAAAAAGCATCAGTTCTCCATGAGAAATAGCAGTTGCAGCTACTTGTTAATGCTGATTCATTGAATCCTGACCACGAGTCATTTTGTATGTTTGGTCTTACTCAGACGTTGCTTATCAAACTTCCACTTCCTCTGTAATTTAAAGGTAAATATTTTAAATAATCATCTCAAGAATTTAATTGGGTTTTGCCTTGCTGATAGAGTCAGCTGTGCCTGCTTCTTTCTGGGTGTTGCTTTAGGAGTCATTCAGTGCATGAAAGATGCCTGGAGCAGGATGTGTGTTATGGCAGGGTAGAGGCTGGCTCAAGGTGGTTTAGCTAAAAGACCTATGAATTAGGAACAAATGTATTGCTAAATGTGAGAGGTATAATCCTTCCTGGCATGTCCATTTCCTAACAGCAATTCACAGAATTGCTGAGGTTGGAAAGGACCTCTGGAAATCATGTAGTCCAATCCATGCTCAAGCAGAGTCAGAGCAGGTTGCTCAATGCTGTCTCCAGTTGGCTTTTGAATATCTCTGCAGATGGAGACTCCACAACCTTTCTGGGCAATCTGTTCCAGTGTCTGACCACCCTCACAGTAAAAAATAAGTGTGTTCTTGTGTTCAGATGGTTTTAAATCCGTGCCCATGGCCTCTCTTTCTGTCAGTGGGTGCTATTGAGAACAGTCTGGTTCCCTCTTCCTTTCCCTCCTGTCAGTGTCTCTACATACTCACTGAAGGAGAGATTGATGCTACTTTCTGTATTTAAGTGCAGGTATCTTGGGAGGATTTTTAGAAGGAAATTCATGTACCCTATCCTGAATGAAAGACACTCTGAATTCAGTTACGAAATACAGCCTTAGATCAAGATGACTGAGCAGTCTCTTTGACCTAAGGATGATCTTTCCAAAGGTGTTTGAGTTTGTGCTCTAATCTGGAGAACATATCCACCCAAATACAGTCTTCCTTCAGAGCACTTTCTGTGGCCAAAGCTCTAGAGTCCCACTTCTGTCTGCTTACACAACATGCATAAAGAGGGAGGGATGGAGTTAAGCTTGCAGCTGGCAGAGGACTTGTCTTTCTGGGTGTGGACTTGGGAGTGTCAGAAAAACAGATGCCTTGTTGCAAAATCATCTCTGCTGTCCCATGGCAGACTGATTATCAAATATTTCAGTCCTCTGAAAATGAAAATCTCTTCAGTTTTAGCTACCTGAAGATTTGATCCACAATTTGGACTTTTAAGTGGCCATATTAGAAAGTAGTGGTTTTGGTCATTAAAACAGGGCGGGGAAAAAAACCCTCGCTTTTGAGACCCTGTTCCTTGTTGCTACAGTAGATTATACTTCTTGGTTAAAAGATACGTCATATTAAAATAATATTAATGTGTTTGATCTAGAAGGTGAGCAGGCATGCTGAAATAGCCCAGGCCAGTCAGTGTTCCTTGTCTTTGGGCTCCCCCCCTTGCTGCTCTTCTGCACTCTGTTTTACAAATGAAAGAGAAAACAGTCCTTAGCAGTCAACCAGGATCTTTCCCTGACCCTCACCTGCATTTCTAGAAAGTATTGGTCACCTTGATGTAGGTACATGGAAAGAAACAAAATAATAGATTTCATTGGGGTTTATTGCCTGAAGGGTTTTTTTAAGCATAAGCTGTTGCTGTCAGAGTCACAGGATCAGGTATGATTTCCTGTTTGCTGGAATATACAGCAAATATGCAAACAGGCTCTCAGCTTTTTTTAGCTCACAAAAGCAAGGGAGTCCTTTGAAAGCTCCTCCGTTTACCCAATCACACTGTACAGCGTTAGAATATTCTGACAGTGTAAATCCTCACAGTTGCCTCCCTCCCTCTTTCCTTCAGTCACTCGCCCTCCCCCCTCCCAAGGCTGCTGCTATCGGATCTGTGATGATATGTGATCTCCTGGATACAATCACACACACACAAGTACCAGGCACTGCTGCTCAGCTGAGCAAAATGTCTTTCTCTTAGAAGTGGTGCTCATCACAGCTTTCGAATCCTTGACGATGTTGCAATGCTTTCCTTTCTGCCTTCTGCCTTTTTCTGTCTTTGTCTGCCTGCTCTTCTTACCCGTGGGTCATTTTTGCCCTGCTGTCTGTAGCTGTATGGACTACCACACCATAGATTGCCGGGATCAAGGACTCCCAAGTGTTCCTAATCCGTTTCCATTGGATGTACGGAAACTTCTTATAGCTGATAACAACATTCAGGCGATACCACCCGATTTCTTTATATTTTATGGAGATCTGGTCTATTTGGACTTCAGGAATAACTCCCTCACCTCTTTAGAAGAGGGCACTTTTAGCAGTTCTACCAAACTGGTGTATTTAGACTTAAGCTACAATAATTTAACACAGCTTGATGCTGGGATATTCAAATCAGCAGAAAAACTGATAAAACTGAGCCTTGGAAACAATAACCTGGTGGATGTGGATGAGGCTGCTTTTGAGAACCTGGAACAGCTCCAAGTGTTAGAATTGAATGACAATAACTTACAGAGCCTAAATGTGGCAGCCCTAGAAGCGCTTCCCTCCCTTCGGGCAATACGCTTGGAGGGCAACCCTTGGGTCTGTGACTGTGAGTTTGCCAATCTTTTCAGCTGGATACAGGACAATGCATCTAAGCTCCAGAAAGGTAAAGCTCCATGGCTTACAGTGCAGTATGTATTTCTCTGTGTGTGTGTCTTGGATTGAAGAGGGGTTCTTGGTCAAATTGTCTGTGTGCTGCTTGCAGTGACCCAAGCTGCATTTTGGTCAAGCTGTAATTGCATGCTTTCAACAAATGAGTCCATTAAAATGATGTTGGCTTCTTTTTAGCAGCAGGTCCTCCTCCCAGTTAAGACATAAAAGTTAAAAATTAAGCTCTAATAATTTTGATTTATACACTGAACCTACATAGGCAGTGAAAGAGCCTTTTCAAATTCATTCAGCCCAGAGCTGGTTCTCTTCCAGGCTTCATTTTCTCTCTGGTAAATATATTTTCTACAGTAAGCCTTTTGAGCAGCTAAACATTCTGTGCCAGCGTCTCGGGAAAACTGATTTTTCTCTCCTTTTAAAGATCAGCTATAAGGCTGATACAGAAGAGTTAATTCACCATTTTATGCAACTGTAGTTGTCAGTCTGTTTCTGGAAGTATTTTGTTGTAATACCCTGTGTTTGAAACTCTCTTCAGTAGCTTGATGTTGGCTCTTTTCATTAGAATAGCACTGCTTCCAGTAGTAGGAATAAATCAAAAAGGCTCTGGAATACCCCAAAATGCAGGATGTATCATTCTGGTATTTGGGCCAGTAATTTTCAGAAAAGCATTGGGGGGCAAAGTATGAAGACTGCCATGTGCAGGGAGCCGAGGCGCTTGCTCTGTTTCCCACGCGACCCCAAAGCCTCTCTTAATCCAGCTTTAGCAGGAGATCATCTCTCAGTTCATGCCTCCCAACAAGCACCAGGGCATAAACTCCTGTCATTGAGCTGCCCAGCTGCTCACAGAAGGCAAACTGCTTGGGGCTTAAACTTTGTAAGGGCTACAGAGGGTGTGCAGGTGTTACCTGATGTGAGATCACTGGTGCCTGGGCTGAGTGGGGATGTCTGAGCAGAAGGTGGTGAGAGCTGGAAGGCTGGGGGAGAAGAGCTCAAGGAGAACAGGTTGAGGCCCAGTAACTGTTTCATTGAATTAAGACCAAAAGGGAGAAAAACACAGTGAGACTTGACATTTCAGAGGCCTTTTCTCTCCTGCCTTGATCATCAGTCTGTAGTCAGTTATTCAGCTTCTTTCTATGCTCATGACCTTGGGTAGCATTTTTAATATACTCATCTAGGTTGCCCTAAATAGTCTTAGCTGTCAAACAGCTGTTATAAGGAAGAAGTCATCTGAGGAAAAAGGGTTGGTTTTTTTCCTGTCTGCCTCATTAAAACTTTCATCTTGATTATTTCTAAACCAAACGTGGGCATGTTCTCCCATCTTCCCATATGCTTTGGCAGAAGTTAGCTTTACTTGAACAAAGTATTTGCCCCTCTCTCATGCTAAACATTATTTCACTTTTCCAGTGCTTTCCATCTCTTTTTATGAAATTTTAACTCTTTC